TTCCCTTTTAAATTTATTTCATGTGCTTTGAATTATCACTCAAAACATCAACAAATTTGTTGAAGTTCTGCTTACTAGACATGATAGAATTATCAAATATTTCAGATTTGGCAAATTATACCACAACCCCATATGCACCTGAATACCTGAAATCGTAAGTCTATCTAGAGCTTATCCTGATTTAATCTATTCTATTTTAAATAAATAGTAAAAGTACCTCAACTGTCTTAAACTAGATGTTTCTCTGCCACTTAACATGGTCAAACACAAAACCATATTTTACCATGAAGGGAAAACAAAAGCTTCTGTCTAAATCCTTAGTTGTTATATTAAGGCTGCTACTGGAAATGTATAAGAATCTCAGATAAGGTCAATTTCTTACTGTGTATGTTTCCCAGATCCAGCCATCACAGATGTATTCTACTTTTTGTGTTGTCATCTAGTTACCATCTTTTTCTACCAATACCTACAGTGAATACTTAATCAGAACCTAATCTTTTTATTCTATTGCTATCTGATCATTGTATTTTCAACATCATTTCCTTATCATTCAATTTCAATCTCTAAAGTCAAACTTAACCTCTGTTGTAACCATAATTCCGTAAGCAGACTGCCTGAGAGAAAAGAGGTATTCACCTAGCAGCAGATAGAAAAAGAACAGCTTTCTTCTGTTAGGTCAGTATTCTTAAGATCCTCTCTCTCTCCCACTATTTTCTGAACAACTATGAAAGACAGACTCATTTAGTAATTTTAGCCTTTCTCCAAATAAATGTACTTTTTAGCTACTGAAAACTCTCTCCCAATAGAAATGGGAAGGTGACCTAGCATTCAGTCTCATTAGCATTCTCATTAATAATTACAAGGATCAGATACTATCTTTGTACCCTCTAATTCTGCTCTCACTACCTGCTCTCCTAGGTACTTTCCTACTCTCTGCTGCTCTGCTAATAAACGAACTCCTTTAACATGCAGAAGACGCACATTCCACATATCTCCTAGGAAAACTAATATTTAAAAAAAGAAAACAATGCTTTTAACAGTCTAATTACCCTTAGGTTTTAAAACCCCTTACGTTTGATCTTCGTAACAGTATCATCCCCATATTCAACAGGAAACGTACAGTGTGATTTACCAAACATCACATTACTGGTAGTAGAACTAGGTCTCCTGTGAGAATGTCCTTTGCCCTAAATACACTGCCTTCCTCAGAGAAGAAAAGTGTCTTTGTAGAACACAATGAAGGATGTGCTTTATATAGCACAATGTACAAATATTAGTGATATATGTATAAAATCAAAATTAAGTTCAGTACTTAAAGAAATATCTTCTATATAAGAAATGATTTCAAGCACGCCAAGAACCCACAGTATAAAAGCTTCTAGGCAGAAGGTACTATATTTCCTTTTCTCCCAGTGCCCCAGCACCTTATCTTATACAGTGAAATACTAATGGCCACTTTTTTTTTTTTTTCAGACAGAGTCTTACTCTGTCACCCAAGCTGGAGTGCAGTGGTGCAATCTCAGCTCAATGCAACCTCCACCTCCCGGGTTCAGGTGATTCTCCCGCCTCAGTCTGCCGAGTAGCTGGGATTACAGGTGTGCACCACCATGTCCAGCTAATTTTTGTATTTTTAGTAGAGATGAGGTCTTGCCACGTTGGCCAGGCTGGCCTCAAACTCTCGGCCCCAAGTGATCTGCCCTTGTTGGCTCCCAAAGTGCTGGGATTACAGGCATGAGCCACCGCAACCAGCGTTAACGGCCACTTATTTCTTAGCAGATCTCAACTATCTGCTAATAAATTTAGCCGATTTCTGTGTATCTGAGTCACAGTCCAATACACAGAAATTACAAACACACTCCACTAAAATCTGGGCACTTTTCATGAGAGACTCTCCGCAGATGAAGTCTTACTTTAGATAAACAATTCTCAACCATATCAGACTCAATGTGCCCCCTGCATAATATTTTCCGACTTCTGCTTTACCACCCTGAAATAAAATAACAATATTCCTATAATTTCAAACAAATCCATACACCCTAAATAAGAATGGAAAAGAGACATGAAAATGATTTATAATAACATATATTTCGATGTGGGGAAAAACTACACTAGAAGACTTAAAGAAGTAACTAGTAGCTGAATATATCTATGAATGCACAGCTATTTGTGATACAATTTTCCAAAACTGTAAACAACTCTTAGTCAAGTTGTGAACAAAACAATCTTCCTTCAGTTCACATAACGGCTACATGTGGAAACAGACACTGGAAAATTCAGTTAAAATCATGATGTAAGATGGAGGTTCCAGGCTTTGATAATTACAAATATTACATGAATGTCAAGCAAGATATTCTTAAATCATGCAGGACACGGGGACACTTTGTTCAGCACTGTCCCACAACTCTCTAGCCTCCACTCAACAAACGCAAGTTGTTAGCTCCAATCATTACAACAATCTAAAAAATGCCTTCTAGTTTCCCCTTGGAGGGCAACACTGAGCTGCACCCATTGCCTTAAACACAATTCTGCTATCTATCCCCGTATAATGTAAAGAAGCTTGGGAAGCATGAATTAGATCTCCAGTTCTGTTACCAATGACCTGTGTGATCACTGTCCAATGAGATAACTTCTCTAAACCTCACTTTCCATGGTACCAAAAGGGAATAAACACTACCTGGCTTTTTAAGTTGTCAGAATGACTCAATGACATGTGTACAGCACAGGGTAGGTGGTTTCCAACCCATGGCCCATTGAGATGTGAAAAAAGGCACTGTTCCAGGTAAATAGAAAGCAAGCAGCAAAAAGTAACCTAAATGTGGAAGACGCAGAAGATATAATAAGCATACAAAATAAAATTCAACGCACAGCAGTCTAGGGACATTTCAGAGAGCAGCCAGCAGTCCTACCTATCTCAGCAACCCCTGAAGGCATTAATGTGCTAGGATTAGCTGAAATAATTAATATTCACAATGATGATCTCCAAAGTAAAAAGGCAAGAAAGGCATACATTTTAAAGGGACTTCCAATGTATGTGGCTGAATTCTTTTTTAAATCTGATGCTTAGTGACTGTATTTCACAAATATTATTCAAATTTTTATTGGGCATTTACTCTATCTTAGGCTAGATAGTTGGAAAACACAAAGAAATCCAGTACACCACGTCTGTTCTCAAACATTTTGCCATTCAGTATATTAGACATGGTAGAGGCAGAATGACACAGATAAGAAATAGAAATTCAAGTAATAAATTATGGGGGCACAGACACAATTAGGAATAATTGTCCCTGAGGAAAAACAAGGACGTCTTCATGGCATAGGCCACTGAAAAATGAGGGTTCTGAGAGGTACAGAATGGGGAGCAAAGTGTTAAGGGAAAAACAAAATCTGGGCAAAAGCACTGGGCATGAAAATACAGATTGGTTCAGAGAAGAGAGGTAGGGAAAGGGTACATTAGGAGTTGGGGGTGAAGGTAGTGAAAGTAAAGGCTGTAAAGCTATTTCAGGACCTGTTCATGAAGGGATTTGAATGATATTCAAATTCATTTCAGTTTTATTGAACAAGAGAGTTTGCCAACACGCTGGTGCTTATGCAGCACACCTGATCCTCAAATAACGCTGAATAATGACCAAAAATAAAAGATTTAGAGTAAATGCAAATTACTACTAAAATTCCTGAAATAAAAATAGTCTTGACATGAATTAATAAGCAAAAAGAACCTAACCCAACAGTAGAAAGTAGCTTCTGAGCTTGTTTCTTAAATAATGAAAATATTACCCAATTTATTGACTGAGAACTGAAAGAAATTTAGGATAATCTGTTGTGTCCTTTGATTGTCTTCCATGCAAGTCACATTATTTCCTAAACATATTATTTAGCAGTGCCTCACATCATCCCCGAAAGACAAGAGACAGACTACAGTATTATTATCCCCTTTTTATCACAGGGAAACTGAGGAACAAGAAGACAAAATTATAGTATGGTCACAAAAGCCATCATATTTTTTAGGACTTTAATTAAAGGCTCCAAGCCTACATTTCATCTTTTATTCTTCACACCATCTGAATACTAGAATTATATTTTACTATCGTCTTAATTGGAAAAAAGAAAAATATCTAAACTTTAAGATCATTTTCTCAATTTGGTACTGTCACAAAAAAAAAGTTTTAAAAGTCTACCCTTGAAATGATATTTGCAAGAACAGCAAGGTGTAAGCAGTAACCCAACCTCCAAAAAATACAGTTGTAAATCTTATAGCTGTAATATAGTTGTAAATCTTAAGACAGGTCAGGAATCCTAGACCCAGCCCTTACTTTGAACATCTGGCAGGCCTCAGGGAAATAATGGAGATTTGTGTCTGTAAGTCTTTGCAGATGCTCTGATGAAAAGGTGCCCTAAGAGGCCCAGAACAGTGGTATCACTACACTCACCACTGCAAACATGAAATCCTCCTCTGTCCCTCCCTGCCTTGCACCACGAGACTCGAGACTCGCGGCACACAAGGAGGCCTATGCAAGAACCTCTCGACATTTCCCTTAAAATGCGGTACTATAAGGACGCCTTTGGTGCTGGGCCTCCGTAAACACTGAGGGTACCGGATGTGGCCAGGCACACCTCAAAGTCTTGGCTCTCCAAAACCAGGGCCTGGTCGAGAGTCTTTTATTGGACACCGAGTTCCTGCGAATATCTCACTTTTCACACAGGCACTGCCAATCCCTGCCCTCCAGTACCCTTCCTCAGCCTCCTGCCGCACTCTTGCCGCGAGGTGGGCGTCCCAAAGAGCTAAGGAGGAGGGTAAGGTTGGTTAGAGCGCAAGGGCCAAGGCCGCGGCCGCGAGGCCGTCCAGCACAGGCTACGGTCCTGCCAGTCCAGCCCCGGAGCCCGGGCGCCTGGCCCCGGCCCTGGCCTGGGCCAACGCGCCGCCGCCGCCGCCTATCAGCAGAGCGCAGGGGCGGGGCTGGCCGGCTCGGCCGCCAGGCCGGCGGGCGGGGGCGGGCGGGGACGGGCGGGGGACCGACCGCCTCGCAGCCCAGGCCGCCGCGCGCACACACCGGGCCCGGCTCCCGAGGGCGCCAGCGCGGCCCCGGGGAGCGCGAGGAGCCGGCGAAGCGCGCGGCCTGCCGTTGGCGGCCTGGTCCGCAGCGCTCTGCGCCCACCCGTCCCGGACGTGGGGCCCAAGCCCCCGTGAAGATGGTGTCCTGGATGATCTCCAGAGCTGTGGTGTAAGTGCCGCTCACGGCGCCCTGCAGCCGGCGCGAGGCCCAGGGGAGCTGTGGGAAGGGGAAGGAGCCGAGAGGAAAGGGAAGGCCTGGGCCTGGGCGGGGACGGGGTGGCCCGGCCTGGGGCCTGCCGTGGGGCCGGGGGAGCCCTCGGCCTCCTCACCTTGGTCCACGTCGCTGCGGGGCTCCCTGCGGCTGCCGAGGGCCTAGCTGCGGCGACTGCGGCTGCGACGGCGGCGGCAGCTGTGGCGCTGCTCGGCTGCGTGCGGCGCGGCGCCCCTGCTCCGGAGGCGCTGGGTGGGCAGGCGCTCAGGGCAGGCGGCGCGCGCTCCCCGCTTCTGCTCCCCGCGCAGCGCGGCACCGCCCTGCGGGCCCGGGAGCGGCGCGCTTCGCAGCTGCTCCCTGCGCAGGCTCCGCAGACGCCGAGCGCGGGAGGCTCCGCGATCCTCCCGAGGATGCGGCGGCAGTGCCGAGCCTTTGTATCCCGCGGCTGATGCGTTGAGGTGTCTCTCTTGGCGGCTGATTGCCATTCGGTCACGTGTGGTAGGAGGAGAGATTTGTCTAAAAACCCGAGACCGCTCCCAGTCCGGGATCCCTGGGAAGGGTCCTAGTTGTCCCAAGATTTGCAGCTTACCGAGAAAGGTGACACCCGGTTGCTCGCCTAGATCCCCGAATTCGGCCCTGTCTTGGCGGAAATATTTGCTAAGTGATTGAAAGGCTGCAGGTGCCTGTTGCCTTTGTTCAAACTATCGGTTCATTTCATTGTTCTCCTACCAACAAGTGCTACAGGTCTGTAAGAAAAAAAATTCCTTGAGTTGTGGTGTTAATCGTGTAAATGTATTTGAATACAATTTAAACTGATTTTCTCTCATCCTCCCCATTTTACCCCTCTCCCCGATTTAAAAAAAAAAAAGTCACCAAGTAAACAATGACGTAGTTACAGCTAGGGTCTGTGAATTCATTATTCATCTCTGTAGTAGTGTTATCTCAGAAGGTTTCATAAAGGTATATGAAAAAATGTTTATGTGAGGGGCAGGCTTCTCTGATTAGCTTTAGAATTTCGGAAAAATAACATTACCAGATTTTTTGTTGTTGTTGTTAAAAGGAGCTAAATTTTCTGAGTTTGGGGTTTATTTTGTTTGGAAGTGAATTACTAGTCCTATTTAATCAGATTTGCAGCACAGCATTCAAAATTTTTCATTTGATTAAATTGCAAAGTTTCTAGTTTTAAAGCCTCAGAGCTTCCTGTGTTCCCCTGTACAAAACTAAAAATCAAGATATAAACAAAAGGATACCGCAGATGCCTTCAGATTGTTTTTTAGCCTTTTCCTGGCCTCTCTTTTGAGTCTCTCATTTACCTAATCCAGGCATACCTTTCTTGACCTAGTAGATGTCTATCAACTGTTGTGTCCACACCTAGAAAATCAAGTGCCCTATTAAGAAGCTGTACTTTACAAAAAAAAAAAAAAAGCCTCTGGATTTCTTTGACCAGTTCTTCAACTGACAGAAAATTGTGACGCACTTTTAGACTTTTGTTTTTCATAATTGACAATATGAACGTCTGTTCTAGGTGCTACCTGTAACACAAAGGTCAGTAACACGTAGTTGATCATGGTCATTGACAGTTTGGGTGCACAGATATCTGCAGTACAGGTCCAAATGTCAACTCTTATAAAAGTTACACCCAGTTGAATACCCAGTGTTGGACAAGGAAGGGATATCTGGTTGAGAAAAAGAAAAGGCAAGGGAGATTATGTTTCAGATGGGCCTTAAAGAGTAGACAGGCCCAGTAGAGTGGCTCACACCTGTAATCCTAGCACTTTGGGAGGCCAAGGAGGGAAGATTGTTTGATCGCAAGAGTTAGAGACCAGCCTAGGCAACAGAGCAAGACCTTGTCTCCACAAAAAATGAAAAATTTAATTAGCCAGTCACAGTAGCTCACACGTGTTATCCCAGCTACTCAGGGACTGAGGTAGGAGGATCGCTCACATCCAAGAGGTCAAGGCTGCAGTGAGCCGTGATCGTGATCGTGCCACTGCACTCCAACCTGGGCCACAGAGCGAGACTGTGCCTCAAAAAAACAAAAAAGAATGGACAGAATCGAGGCGGCCAAAGATGAAAAAGGAAAGGATTCCAGATATAGGGACCAGCGTGAGCCAAAGCCCAGAGGAGGAAAAGCCCAGATTAGTTACAGTGGGCGTGAGGGACTCGGGTGGGGAAAAAGCAAGCTGGAAAGATAGCCTGGGGTGTGTTTTCAAGAAAGAAGGGGTAAATGTTATAAGGCAGCAACAGCTTTGCTTTGGAAGATTCTCTGCCCTTCTGTGAAATGATTGGCAGTGGAGACCTGGAAAACAAGGAGACTCCTTAGGAGACTCCCTAACTGGAGAGAGGGGATTAAAGCCTCTTTGCAGTTAAAGTGCTTGAGCTACAGAATGTAAGGTTTGAGGCTAAAGACAGGGAACAGTAATATGAGGAAGAAAATGTCATGAAAAGAAACGTGTTTCTCAAGTGTCAGGAACCGTTATTTTGTGAGCCATTAGCACATTAGAAAGCACACTTGTCAGAGAATATAAACATCATTCCATTTTTCTTCTTTACTCAGTTTCTCTCTCTGAAAATGAAAGCGCAGTCACAGGATCTACACAAACTTGGAAACCTTTTTCACACCAGGAGGTAGAATTTACTTGATTCTTTCTAACTTACTGAGACAACCACCTCCTCCTGAGCAAGATCAGACCCTTCTCTCGACATGAACCTCTGGTAGCATGGGCAGGGAACCTCAATAACCAGAGCACCCTGTATGTAGAAGCACTTTGTCCCCAGATCCTGCACTTTAACACCGGAGAAATTAGCCCTGGACACCACTCTTTTTTTTTTTCTTGAGACAGAGTCTCTCTCTATCGCCCACGCTGGAGTGCAGTGGTGTGATCTCAACTCACTGCAACCTCCACCTCCCAATTCAAGCAATTCTCATGTCTCATGTCTCATGCCTCACCCTCCCAAGTAGCTGGGACTACAGGCGCGTGCCACCACGCCTGGCTAATTTTTTTGTATTTTTAGTAGAGACAGGGTTTCACCATATTGGTCAGGCTGGCCTCGATCTCCTGGCCTCATGATCCGCCCACCTTCCTCTCTAAGTGCTAGAATTACAGCCATGAGCCACCGCACCTGGCCCTGGATACCACTCTTTACAGCTGTGTGGTCTTGGGCAGCATGCTAAACCCTTCTGAGCGTCAGTCTTCTTGCCTTTAAGTGATTATAATAAATACCACACGAGACTGTTGTAAAGAAAATTAGCCGGGCGTGATGGCGCACAGCTGTAGTCCTGACTAGTAGGGAAGCTGAGGCACTAGAATCACTTGAACCCTGGAGGGAAAGGTTGCAGTGAGCTGAGATCGTGCCACTGCACTCCAGCCTGGGCAACAGAGCAAGATTCTGTCTCAAAAAAAAAAAAAAAAAAGACTGTTGTAAAGATTAAATTAGTTTAACTAAAACGTGCAAGTGTGATGCTTGGCATTGAGTGTGCACTTAAAACGTAATAGATATATAGATAGCTTTTTTATGAGGGAAGTGAGTAAAATGGTGTAGGAAGAAATATCACTGGATTGTTATCAAGAAACTTGGAATTCAGAACTGGATTTGGTTACCTTAACGAGCTGAATGACCCTGAGGCAGTCTCTTGCTGATTATAGACCTTGGTTCTATTTCTCAGAAGAGGCAAAGAGACCTAATAACCCCCAAACTCTTTTGTCCAGCCTTAGCATTCTGTGATGATATGAAAGTATTTTTCCATTACTCACAGTCTGTTCAAACTCAGCTTACTTTAACATCACAGGCAAGATTGACAGGTTAGTTACCAATTTTTTTTTTTTTTTTTTTTTTTTGTGACGGAGTTTTTCTCTTGGTGTCCAGGCTAGAGTGCAGTGGCACGATCTTGACTCACTGCAATTTCCGCCTCCCGGATTCAAGCAGTTCTCCTGCCTCAGCCTCCCAAGTAGCTGGGATTACAGGCGTGTGCTACCACGCCCAGCTAATGTTTGTATTTTTAGTAGAGATGGGGTTTCACCGTGTTGGCCAGCCTGGACTTGAACTCCTGACCTCAGGTGATCCTCCTGCCTCGGCCTCCCAAAGTTCTGGGATTACAGGCATGGGTAGTTACCAATTTTTAAGGGATAGTAGTTTGAGATTACCAATGGTGTTCCATTCATATATGATATCCGCACCTCACCTTTTGAAACATGACTCATAAGTTGAGGGAAATTCAATTTTTCCCCTAACTTTTCTTAATTTGTTTTTATGATGTAGCATTGTGATTAAGATCAAGATTAAAGCTAGATTGCCAAATTCAACTATTAGCTCTGCCATTTATGCGTCATAACCTACCCCACGCGTTTAAATACATTAATATATGTAATGTCCATAATCCAGCATCTGGCACATAGTAAGCATTCAGTAAATGCTAGTAGTAGTTATCAGAAAAACGAAAAACATGCTCTTCTAAAATCCCAGCATGCTGAATGTTTAAAGTATCTTCAATACACATTTTTTGTTTGAATCACTTTGTGTGTAGGTAACATAATTTTAATTAGAGTATAGTAAAAATGTGATACTATTCTTTATTATATTGTAAGCATATTCTGTGTTGCTCTGAAATCTTATAAGCATCTTCTATGTTGCTTTAAAATCTTATTTAATATCTTCTGTTTGATCAGGCCAGTATTATTTTCCTCGCCCTTCATCTACTTATATTTAATTTTACATTTAGATAATTTCTAATATTTCATTATTATAAGTAATGCTGCAATGCAATTATAATGCTATAATGGACATTATATATACTTCTTTTGAAGTACGTATTTCTTTGGGATAAAAATACAAGAGGAGTATTTCTGAGTCAAACACTGAATATGTCTATGATCATTGATACGAATTGCCAAATTGCTTTCTAAAAGAATATTAATATTTTACATTGCTAGCAGCAATGTATGAGTACTTTCTTTATC